ATTTGGGGGGGAGGGGACCCAAAATTGGGGTGGGAGGGCCCAAAATTTGGGGGGAACCAAAATTTTTGGGGGGGGGGAATTTGGGTTTTTTTGGGGGGAAATAGAGACAAAAAAAGGTTAAAAATGGGTGGAAAATGGGGAAAAAATGGGAAAAAAAAAGTTAAAAAATGGGGGAAAATGGGAAAAAAAGAGGAAAAAGATGGGAAAAAATGACTAAAAAAAGAGGAAAAAATAGGAAAAGCTTGTTAAAAAAAAGGGAAAAAATTTGGGAAAAAATGGCTGAAAAATACGGGAAAAATGGGAGAAAAATAAGAGAAAAAGGTTAAAAAATGGGGAAAATGACAAAAAAATGGAGAGAAATTGGGGAAAAAATGCTAATAAATGGTTAAAAAATAGAGGGAAAAATAGGAAAAAAGGGCTAAAAAATGGAAAAATTTGGGAAAAAATGGCTAAAAAATAGGGGAAAAATGGGCAAAAAAGCTAAAAATGGGGAAAAAATGGCTAAAAAAAAGGGGAAAAATGGGTAAAAAAGCTAAAAATGGCTAAAAAATAGGAAAAACTTGCTAAAAAATCGGGGAAATGGGGGAAAATGGGGAAAAAATTAAGAGGAAGTGGGGAAAAATTGCTAAAAAATGGGGCAAAAATCTTAAAAAAATGGGAAAAAAAGACTAAAAAAAGCGGGAAAAATGGGGAAAAATTGAGAAAAAAATTAAGAAAAAATTGCTAAAAAATAGGGAAAAAATGGGAAAAATGGCTAAAAAGTGGGAATAAAAAGCTGAAAAAATGGGGGCAAAAATGGGGAAAATTTAAGAAAAAATTGCTAAAAAATAGGGGAAAAATGGCTACAAAGTGGGAATAAAAAGCTGAAAAAATGGGGGCAAAAATGGGGAAAAATTAGGAAAAAATTGCTAAAAAATGGGGCAAAAATCTTAAAAAAATGGGAAAAACTAAAAAAAGTGGGAAAAATGGGGAAAAATTGAGAAAAAATTTAAGAAAAAATTGCTAAAAAAGAGGGAAAAAATGGGAAAAATGGCTAAAAAATGGGAATAAAAAGCTGAAAAAATGGGGGCAAAAATGGGGAAAAATTAGGAAAAAATTGCTAAAAAAATGGAAAAAAAATGGGAAAAATGGCGAAAAAATGGGAATAAAAAGCTGAAAAAATGGGGGCAAAAATGGGGAAAAATTAGAAAAAAAATGCTAAAAAATTAGGAAAAAATTGCTAAAAAATGGGGCAAAAATCTTAAAAAAATGGGAAAAACTAAAAAAAGTGGGAAAAATGGGGAAAAATGGAGAAAAATTTAAGAAAAAATTGCTAAAAAAGAGGGAAAAAATGGGAAAAATGGCTAAAAAGTGGGAATAAAAAGCTGAAAAAATGGGGGCAAAAATAGGGAAAAATTAGGAAAAATTGCTAAAAAAGAGGGAAAAAATGGGAAAAATGGCGAAAAAATGGGAATAAAAAGCTGAAAAATTGGGGGCAAAAATGGGGAAAAATTAGAAAAAAATTGCTAAAAAATAGGGCAAAAATCTTAAAAAAATGGGAAAAACTAAAAAAAGTGGGAAAAATGGGGAAAAATGGAGAAAAATTTAAGAAAAAATTGCTATAAAATAGGGAAAAATGGCTAAAAATTGGGAATAAAAAGCTGAAAAAATGGGGGCAAAAATGGGGAAAAATTAGGAAAAAATTGCTAAAAAAGAGGGCAAAAATCTTAAAAAAATGGGAAAAAAGGACTAAAAAAAGTGGGAAAAATGGGGAAAAAATGAGAAAAAAATTAAGAAAAAATTGCTAAAAAATAGGGGAAAAATAGGGAAAAAATGGCTAAAAAATGGGAATAAAAAGCTGAAAGAATGGGGGCAAAAATGGGGAAAAATTAGGAAAAAATTGCTAAAAAATAGGGCAAAAATCTTAAAAAAATGGGAAAAAAAGACTAAAAAAAGTGGGAAAAATGGGGAAAAATGGAGAAAAATTTAAGAAAAAATTGCTAAAAAATAGGGAAAAAATAGGGAAAAAATGGCTAAAAAATGGAAATAAAAAGCTGAAAAAATGGGGGCAAAAATGGGGAAAAATTAGAAAAAAATTGCTAAAAAAGAGGGAAAAAATGGGAAAAATGGCTAAAAAATGGGAATAAAACTGAAAAAATGAAGGCAAAAATGGGGAAAAATTAGAAAAAAATTGCTAAAAAAGAGGGAAAAAATGGGGAAAAAAACCCCTTAAAAACGTGAAAAAATGGCTAAAAAATGGGGAAAAAAATGTAAAAAAAGGGTAAAAAATTGGGAAAAATGGGGAAATGGCCCCAAAATGAGAGGGTTTTACCCCGGCTGCCAACCTGGTGACGGCGTGTCTGCGCAGGATCCTGCTGCACAGGTGGGAAATGGGGAGAAAATGGGGGAAAACGGGGAAAAATGGTGAAAAAATGGTGAAAATCGGGTAAAAAATGGCTGAAAAATGGTTAAAAATGGGGAAATGGCCCCAAAATGAGAGGGTTTTACCCTGGCTGCCAACCTGGTGACAGCGTGTCTGCGCAGGATCCTGCTGCACAGGTGGGAAATGGGGAGGAAACGGGAAAAAACGGTGAAAAAATGGTGAAAAACGGTGAAAAAATGGTGAAAATCGGGTAAAAAATGGCTGAAAAATGGGGAAAAATGGGGAAATGGCCCCAAAATGAGAGGGTTTTACCCCAAGTGACGGCCTGGCTGTGCAGGATCCTGCTGCACAGGTGGGAAATGGGGAGAAAACAGGGGAAAATGGGAAAAAATGGTGAAAAAACGGTGAAAAATGGTGAAAAACGGTGAAAAAACGGTGAAAAACGGGGAAAAAATGGCTGAGAAAATGGGGAAAATGGTTAAAAATGGGGAAATGGCCCCAAAATGAGAGGGTTTTACCCCGAGTGACGGCCTGGCTGCGCAGGATCCTGCTGCACAGGTGGGAAATGGGGAGAAAACAGGGGAAAACGGTGAAAAACGGTGAAAAAATGGTGAAAAACGGTGAAAAAATGGTGAAAAATGGTGAAAAAATGGTGAAAAATGGGTAAAAAATGGGGAAAATGCCCCAAAATGAGAGGGTTTTACCCTGGCTGCCAACCTGGTGACGGCGTGTCTGCGCAGGATCCTGCTGCACAGGTGGGAAATGGGGAGAAAACGGGGGAAAACGGTGAAAAACGGTGAAAAAATGGTGAAAAAACGGTGAAAAACGGTGAAAAATGGGTGAAAAAATTACAAAAAACGGTGAAAAAATGGCGAAAAACGGTGAAAAAATTACAAAAAATGGTGAAAAAATGGCAAGAAATGGTTAAAAATGGGAAAATGGTGAAAAATGGTGAAAAACAATGGAAAAGTGGTGGAAAAATGGGAAAAATTGGGAAAGAAAAGGGAAAATTCAGGCCGGGTTCAGCCCCTGAGGATGCTGAGATTGGGGCGGATTTGGGAGATTTTTGGGGTGATTTGAGGTGATTTTGGGGCAGTTTTGGGGTGATTTTGGATGATTTTGGGGCAGTTTTTGGGGTGATTTTTGCAGCAGTTTTTGGGGTGAATTGGGGTCATTTTGGGGTGGTTTTGGGGTGATTTTGGAGCCGGTTTTTGGGGCAGTTTTGGGGTCAATTCTGGGGTGATTTTGGGGCAGTTTTTGGGGCAGTTTTGGATGATTTTGGGGTATTTTTGGGGTGATTTTGGTGCAGTTTTGTGATTTTGGAGCCGGTTTTAGGGCAGTTTTAGGGTGATTTTGGGTGGTTTTGGGGTGATTTTTGGGGAAGTTTTTGGTGTGATTTTGGGGTGATTTTTGGGCAGTTTTGGGGGTGATTTTGGGTGGTTTTGGGGCAGTTTTTGGGGTGATTTTGGAGCTGGTTTTAGGGCAATTTTGGGGCAGTTTTGGGGTGATTTTGGGGCAGTTTTTGGGGCAGTTTTGGGGTCAATTCTGGGGTGATTTTGGAGCCGGTTTTAGGGCAGTTTTAGGGTGATTTTGGGTGGTTTTGGGGTGATTTTTGGGGCAGTTTTTGGGGTGATTTTGGGGTGATTTTGGAGCTGGTTTTAGGGCAATTTTGGGGTGATTTT